CTCCAAGTTCTACGAGGTGTTGGACACGGCCATCATACTCGCCAAGGGGAAGCGCTCTTCCACCCTGCAGACTTACCACCACGCCGGGGCCATGATGTGCATGTGGGCTGGCATCAGGTACATGGCGTCGCCCATCTGGATCTTTGCCTTGTTCAACTCCTTGATCCATGCCATGATGGTAGGTCTATCACCATATCAATACGTGTCCATAGCTATCCGTGTCTGTGCTAACGGCTATAGTATACATACTACACGTTAACAGCGTTGAGAGTGCGCGTGCCGGTGAGGATCAAGCGCTCCCTCACGACAATGCAGATCGTCCAGTTCGTGGTTGGCACCCTCCTCGCTGCTGCTCATCTCTTCGTCTCCTACTCTGTCCCCGTCCCCGTGGCCCGCCCACTGGCCCTTCGCCCGCTCACCCAGTCCATCCCCTCAGGCTCGGAGTCCGGAACAGGTATTGGGCCCTGGTTGAAGAAGCTTGCCTTTAGGGCTGCCGGTGCGGACGGAGTGGCCTCCAACGTCCTCTCTGCCAACGGGACTCTCTTCGGCCGCGACGGTGCTGACGCTGCCCACGCTGTCGTCAACCACCGGGAGCTCAGGTACTCCCTCGAATCCGCCACCGTCCCCTGCATCAACACTTCCGGTCAGGCCTTTGCCATCTGGCTCAACCTCGTCTACCTCCTCCCGCTCACCTTCCTCTTTGTCCGCTTCTTCGTGCGCTCCTATCTCCGTCGCACCACCGACCAGCGTGGACACCACCACGTCTCGGAAAAAGCCGGCCTGGCCATCAAGGACGTCACGCGCGAGATCACCAACGCCGTCATCGAGATGCACGGAGATGTCGTCTCCGATCTCTCCTCGGGGACATCCACCCCCCGTCCGGAAGCCGCGTACGAGGCTAACGTCCTTGACCTGCTCAACCGCAAGCAGCGTCATGCCGAACAATCCATCTCATCCAGCCGGCCACTTAATACTTCTGCTGCTGCTCCTACCTCTACTACTGACGAGCAAAAGTACGAAGCTAGCGTGAAGGACGTCATGTCTGCCAGGGAGAAGGAAATCGACAGACACCCAGAACAGTCCACCGCTATACACGTCGAGAACTCACCTACTCCCGTCCATCGCAGGAAGAAAGCTCATAGACGTCATTAGTTCTTTTTCCTTTTTTCTCTTACTTTTTTCCTTTCTTCTACTTCCTCAAGGCTTTCCCTCATTCTATGGCGTCGGGTATTTAAAAAAGTTGGTCTAGGGGGCATGGACGGTTCATGGACAAATGCCGTACTCTGTATTCTTGTATTCTACTTTCTACCATTAATACTATATCCATATCTACCTCCATCTACATCTACCAACTTCCTGCTTCCATCTATGATGTAATACCACGTGATAAGCTGACGTCAGCATCTAAAACTCCAAACTTCAACTTTCGCCTTCAACAAGAAAAGAAGAAAAGAAACTCGACCAAGCGAAGACAACTCGACCACCAACGACTTGACACATCAGATCTACGGCTACAGCTTCAGTAGAAGAGACGAGACGGGACGAGACGCACCCATGAGCGGCTTCAAGGGTCTCGTCAAGGATGGCTGGCACCCCAAGGGCAACGACGGCGGCCGCGAGAGCTGGAGGGGAGACTTCAAGGGCATCAACCAAGTGGTCTGTCTCCTTATACAAAGGCTGGGTCTGGCATGTGATGAGCTAACCTGCATCTAGGCCGGATGGGTGGGAAAAGGGAAAAGCACTGGAACCACGGCCGAGCCTCCGCGCGCCAGTAGGCCTATATCAAGTCTAAGAGACCCTGCCTCCTTTGGACGGCCGCCTCAGCGAGGACAGCCGCAGCAGCAGCAGCATAATGAAGCTGCTGCTGTGAAACCTGCTCCGCCCCCTGTGCCTCGTCGAGCAGATACTTCAGGTACCTCGACCTCGACATCAATGCCGACGAACACGCTGCTACCACCGCCCCCTCGACGGGCCAACGATGCGGGTTCCACCAAGACTAAACCGTCTCTACCGCCCAGACTACCTCCTCGTCGCGAGACTGCTGCTGAACAGACTCGTCACGACTCTCCTCCCCCTGCTTATGAACTTGCTGCCAACCCTGCCACCGCTGCTACTGCTGCTGCAGGCAGATTAGGCGCCATAGGGGTTTCAGTGCCTGCGCTTGGAATCAGTGGAACCCAGTCTCAGGGCCAGGGCCAGGGCCAGGCCCAAGTGCAGATTCCCCCAGAAGCCTCACACGCCGTGACCTCTGTAGCCCAAAGCGAACTCCAACAGCGGTTCAACCAGATGAGCCGTTCCGTCCCTCCTCCCCATCCTCCTCCCACTGCTTCCACCACCTTACAACCTCCTCCTCCGCAACGAAGTTTATCAGACAACCCCCACTCCTCATCATCCAGCTCTCTAAACTCCTTCCGCGAACGCCACAATGACCACATCCAAGCTGGCATGAACAAGCTTAACGGCCTCGACCAGAAATACGGCATCTCAAAGAAAATAAACAGTTTCATCGAGGACCAAAAATCTCCTGCTTATCCACAGGGACAGCAGCCCCAGCAACAGCAACAGTGTCAATACCAGCATACTCCCACTCCGCCTCCGCCACCGCATCCGTCAAATCCATATTCCAACCCTGACGGCAGCTCTTCCAAGCCGGATCTGAATAATCGCAAACCTCCGCCGCCACCACCACCAATGAAGCCTGGCTCCCTTGCTTCCAATGCCGTCAGCCATTCTCCTTCTCCGCCACCGTTGCCTCTTAACACCAAGCCGCGGTGAGCCATCATTAGTACTTTATTGTTCGTGTCTACTTTACCTTGCACAATATACATTCGACGGAGTAGGGAGCATGTTTGTTTTGCTTTGTTGTTTTTGAGGATTGGCTTCTTTGCTATTCTTATACCTATCCACCCTGTCTTGCGAGGTTCAATCTTAGGTTAGAAATTAATATTCTTTTATGCTTCATTCAATATTACTCCATCAAGTTAATAAGTGATGAATTTAGCCATGATTTATATAGTGAGTATCCCACTTCAAGGCAGGTTAAAAAGGCCGTCTTCCGACTCCAGAATTCCAATCCTTAATTACCAACAAACATTGTAAAAAATGCCTCGACCAAAGCCCAAGAACGCATTCAAGGAGGAATCCTCCATTCCTCTCTCGCTAGAAACACATTGGTTCATCGGCGAGAAGCCAAAGTTCCCTTATCCGGCGCTGCGAGAGCTAGGCACGATCCTAAACGCCGATTATCAATGGGAATCAATAGATAGCGCCGCCCTAGACGGCAGTATGGACCACATCTTCATCGGTGCAGTGATATGGGAGGACGAGGGCAGTGATATCCATGCTACCAGCGACGTCATCACCAAGATCCGCGTCCGTTGGAATTCAAGGGACGTCAACCGCACGATGAGCGGGGAGGTGAAAAACATATACACGGGTCCACAGCTGCAGGAGGAAACTGGCCACACGACAGACGGGCCGGGGAAGAAGATAACGGGAGAGCAGCTCTCGCTGGCCGCGGACTGGTATGGTGGATATATACTTGCATACTGCAAGGGCCGGATCGGCCTGCATGTAGGAGACGGCGAGTGCTGGACTCTAGCCTACCGAGCACTCGAGGAAGCTGGCCGACAGGCACTGCGGAAAGACGGTCGCGAACCACCCTTGTTGAGTACCGGTCGAGTCCACGGCCACCTCATATTCGAATGGCATGCGTCGCCAGAGTATCCCGTCACCGTTGCCAGCGGCATCATGCAGCATGTTCCTGCCGCCCCAATAAGAGCGGGGGATATCCTGGAGCTAGCGGACGGTCGGTTTCGAGCCATCAACCTGGCCCTGTCGGGCCTTGTGAAGCAGGAGGAAAACGTCCGGTTCAAAGCCCACACGGCTGTCATCACGGCGCTAGAGGACTGTACGCTCAAAGTCATAGAGCAAAACGGTCGCATCAAGTCCATCGTCGCGGAGAACGAGTATAACCTCAGAAACATGGTAGGTGGAGCGGTGCGAATCTACCGTCCGCTAGGCGTCTCGCTCGTCTCTGTCTCCGCCGGCCGTCGCGATGTTTCTGCTTCCCTTTCTGGCGTCTGCGATAAATGGTGACTAAGCAAGGGGCGAGTTGATGTCACGTTACCTTTGACGCAAGGTTCACGCGGCTGAGCTTATTTACAGAATAGCCAATGAAAGCCCGTAATTACACGAAATAACCGAGCTGCGGCTCCCACCGGTCGGTTGGAATAAGCTAAATTGCGATAACTCAATTCGGTGGGGAAATGTGGAGCTTTATAATACATCGACTTATATTGCAGGATTGATAGGCCTTGATATCAATCGGGAAAAAGTAATAATATATGATAGCATTTCAATTAAACATCATCGCGGATTCTCCACTCGGTGACAAGTAATTGGGACCTTTACGAGGTGGAAATCACATAATTTCCCGCATGGCCGCGCAAACAATGTATATTTCCCCCCGCCTGCACTTGGCAAACTATGTCACACAGCTTCGGGGACAAAAGTGCAACGAGATATGAGATTCTAGAATTCTAAAAGGGAAAAGATAATTGGAAAAGTGGAAGGAGAGGCAGAAATGTAGTGTATATGAAAGACATAACGATTTTCTCGCTGTCATTATTAAATCGGAAAAAGAAATAGAGAAAAGAGAGAGAAAGCAGCAGCAGATCAGTCTCAACGGAAATGAAAACAAGTCAAAGCCGAGGAGCGGAGTTGATGATGAGAGAAGGAAAAACAACCGGGTGAGTCAGTGTTAGCTAAGAGAACTAGGTAGAGAAAAGCAGGGCGCTGATTGGCATCTATCCCTTTTATTTAAAAGAAACACTCGCACACGGGCACGCCAGCTAGGCAGAGGGCAAAGTCGCCGCATAGCAGAATCACACGTGGAATAAAAAAAGGAGACATACTAAAGACGAAGACCGCAACCATTACAAGGACAGTAGAGTTTAAGAGAATAAAGAACAAATGGACAACAAGAGAGATAAATCTGGTGGTTGTAGGGAAAACGAGGGGCAGATTGTTACAGATTTGGAAACGCCTGACCGTCGTCCTGGGGAACGAAACGCCACCAAAGATGCAAAGAAAGTTCATTAAAAGAAGTGTGTGTAGACCTTTGAAGATTCGTGCACTTCCATCTCCTGCAGCAAAGAAAACTAGTTAGTAATGGGATTATACCAATACAGAAGAGAATATGTAATAGTTTGACATACCATTTTGAAAGTATTAAGCTCCTCCTTAATCTGTTGTGCAAGTAGAGGGGTGAGACGGTTACACGTCGCCACATCTCCGCGCCTATCATACTCGCC